TTAGGGCACACCACACTATTAAAATTGAATAATACTAGTCGACTAGTGGGACTAAAGAGTTGGTCGCATAATGACAGTAGAAATGGCTGCAATGATTCTAAACTTTTCAATAGTTTTAAGGTTCAAAATTAAACATTAACGTGCGAGGTTGCGGTACTACTACTTTCTTTAATTATGTTTTCTAGTCAGGTTTACAACTCGGTGTTACATTGGTTTTCGTCCTGGTCGACAATGCAAAATACGAAACAGTAAACAGTGCCACATAGAAAAGTACTAAAATCATACATTTTTCTTGGATCTGCATGTAGCTCTCATGACATTGAAACCATAAAAAAAAGCTTACGATAAGGGTATCACTTTAAGGCAAATGACAGATGACAAAGATATTCAACAAACTGCAGGCGATAGGTTTATCAGAAGGCAGTGAAAAAGAGGAAAGAACAAAAGTTTGTATCTGATCTCAATCACACGCCAGCGCGCTATATCACGCGCACGTGACTTAAACACTGCAATATCATTGGTCATCTTTATATCCAATGCGAAAACAAAATAGCGCGCGTTTCCTATAATCCATGGCGAGTGAATTAGTGAAACCGGCCACGCGCTGAGGTAGATTGTTAAATATAATTCAACCCGTGAATTCAAAGTGAACGGCAAGAAGGTTAAAGCTTCCCCTGGAAACTGCCAGAGCTACAACATCATTTATCTGTTCCAATGTAGTGTCTGTGGAAAGGCTTACGTCGGTCGCACAACTCGATCTCTACGGGTTAGGACTGGCGAACATAGGGTCAAATATTATAAACTTTTAAATGGTGATAAGGTACGTGAACATTCAAAGCTTTTGATCCCGAAATAATCAATCAATTCTGGTTTAAAAAATGCACGATGCTTTAATTATACGAAACAAAATTATTTAAAAAAAACAATGTCCTTCTCAGATTTCTTACTCTGACTTGTCAATATTCAGTTAACTGTACATATTGTATAAAAATTCACCGTATAAAATTCGTGTACTACTCGAAAACAATTGTGTGTAAAATCTTAACGTTTGATCTTAACGATATTTTTCATAAGATTGTTTAGGTTTTAGAGCTAATCGCTCTGACCTGCGAGTTTGGTTAGTTTCTTGTGCTTCACCTGAACTGGGGTTATTGTTAGTTAACTCTGGTTCGTTCGTTCTGAGAGGTGTGTTAGGTAAATCAACTTCAGTTAATTGTTCTGACGACACAACCGTACTAGAATTAGGTAAAGTAAAACATTCAGTCTCTGGAGAATTGTCATTTTCCGACGTCTCTGCTTGTTGTAGTACCGAAACTGATCTTTGCTTGATATGGTCTGCGTGTTTAATCACGTTTCTTCCGTCAAACATAACTTCGTACATGTTAGAGTTCCCGATTCTTCGTTGAATTTCTCCTTGACTCCAAGTGTCTTTGTTCTGTGGTTGCACATATACTTTCTGCTTGTCTTCAAACTGGCGGTTTCTGATTCTGCTGGCATTCAGTATTTCCTGTTCTTTATCCACGTTCAATCTTTCAGACGTTTCACGATCTGCTGGAAATACGTGATTCAACCTTGTTCTTACATAGAGCTTCTTAAATAGCGCTTCAGACGGTGGTATCCCAGTAACGCTGTGCGGAGTGATTCTGTAGTTAACTAAGAAATTTGCTAGATTCTTGTCGACATCTTTACAATTTTCATACATCTTTTTCATCGCGTCTTTGAATTTTCCTACAAATCTCTCACAGCATCCATTACTTTTTGGGTGATACGTTCCTGTCTTTAAGTGGTGTATGTTGTTCCTCTGCAAGAAATCTTCGAATTCCTGTGAAGTAAAGTTTGTTCCGTTGTCACTCACTATAACAAACGGTAGTCCGAATCTACTGAAAATGGTTCTCAAAGCTCTGATCGTTGCTGATGATGTGGTGTTATTGTTCATCTTTACCACTTCAGGCCAACGTGAATGAGCGTCATAAACTACTAAGTCTAACCACATGCTGTTGAGAAATGGTCCAGCGTAATCAATGTGGACTCTTTGCCAAGGCATTGATGGTCTGGTCCATGGGTGTTCAATCAAACTTGGTAAACTCTTCCCATGTTTCCCACATGTTGTGCACGTGTTAGCTATTTGCTCGATCTCTGAGTTTATTAACGGCCAATATACGTAAGATCGTGCTAATGTTTTCATTCTGCTGATACCTAGGTGTGTTGCGTGTAACATCTCCAATACCGTAGTCTTTAACTTAACTGGAATGATAACTCTGCAACCCCATGTCAAACATCCGTTTTCTATTGAAATGTCGTTTCTCCGATTCCAATAAGCGGTCATTTCATCTGTGAAATTTGTTTCTCTATCTGACCATCCATTCTTCACGTAGTGTAGAACTTTCGATAAGACAGGGTCTTTCCTGGTATGTGATTCGATGTTTTTAGCCGTTAATCCTGTATTTTCTATATCCACACTCTGTACCCAATCGTTTTCTGTTTCCTTTTCATCTTCTGGGGTGTGTGGTCTTGGTAGTCTCGATAACATGTCAGCGTTCCCATGGGCTTTGGTTGATCTGTAGCAGATATCATAGTCGTAATCCATGAGAAATAATGACCATCTGGTTAATCTTGCTGCGGTCATGACTGACAGTTGCTTGTTTTTGCTGAAGATGTGTACTAGTGGCTGGTTGTCGGTTATCAGTTTAAACTTCCTTCCATAGTCCATACAGGTACAAATGGAAACGTTTAACAGCCCACACAATCGCTGCTGCTTCACGGTCGATTTGTGCGTAGTTCTTTTCCGCTGCAGTTAAAGAAATTTACTCGATTGGACGTTCCGATCCATCAGGCATTGTATGTGACAGTACTGCACCCAATCCGGTCGGAGACGCGTCGGTGTCAAGTTTCAGCGGTTTCTTAGGATCGTACAAAGTCAGCACTACATCCGAGCTAAGTAGTTTCTTCAAATTCTTCCAAGCTTCTTGTTGTCTCTTTGTCCACTTCCATTCTACTCCTTTCTTTCTGAGTTCATCTAATGGAGCAACAATCTGTGACATATTTGGTAGATACCTCCTGTAGTAGTTCACTCCTGACAAGAATGATACTAATTCTTCTACTGATCGTGGTGCTCTCATGTTTAACATATCTTCCACTTTCGACTTAACGGGTCTGATCCCGTCTTTGTTTACCTCATGTCCTAGGTAAATCACAGAGTCTTTCAAGAATTCTGACTTTTCCATCTTGCATCTGTATCCTTGGTTTTCCAATCGGCCAATAACTTCGTTGAGTATTCTCAGGTGTTCCTCTCTGTCCTTTCCGGAAACGAGGATGTCGTCCACTCTGCAACAACACATTGGTATCCCTGCCAATGTTTGATCTATGGTCTCTTGAAAAATGGCTGCTGCTGGAGAAATACCGTAGGGTAAACGATTCCACAATAACTGTCCTAAATGGGTGTTAATCGTTGTCAGTATTCTGTCTTCTTTCCTGATTGGGATGTTATTGTATGCAGCTCTAACGTCTAGTTTTGTAAACTGCTGTCCTCCCGTTACTTTGTTCAGGCACTCTTCTATAGACGGCAGTGGGTACTGCTGTGCTGCCATAGCAGGATTCAAAGTAAGGTTATACGAGCCACATATACGAGTCTTTTCTCCTTTGAACACGGGGACTATAGGTGTTCCCCAAGGACTTGCTCCCTCTACCTTGGTTAGTGTTCCCTCGTTCAACATTCTTGTCAGCTCTTTCCCTACTTGATCCTTCTTCGCGTACGGCAAAGGTCTCACACCCAACGATTTTGGTTGAGCATCTTCTTTCAGCACTAGTTTTGCCATTGCACCTTTGATGAGCCCCAGTCCTTCTTCAACAAGAAATGCGGCCGCTTTTCTTTTGTGGATGGCCGCTCAATTTCCCGATCCGTGATGGCATATTTATTATATTCCATACAACCTGGGGACGGCCCAGTCTTTACTGTTTAAATAAACATGCAAATATGGCGAAGTGACATGCTGACTGCCGAGCGCCGCCCAGTTAATATAATTCTATATTGAATTTGAAGATCGTGTATCATGTATACTTCTATGTAACCATATGTTTATTGTTTATGCAACCTGACACGGAACTGTGCAAAATAGTAATACTAACTCAAAATAATAATAATATGCTATTAATTAGTGCCTAGTGGGATACGTACATGATGAAATTAATAATGTACTTGGTTGGTTCAGCGCCGCGCGCCAACAATTATATGATTCTGATTGTCACGCAAAATAACTTTGCGCAGGTAGTCACGTGGGCGATAACAGTGCTCGCAGGCACGTTCGGTCGCACACACGGTCGCACACACGGTCGCAAAGCTACCATATTTTTTAAAAAACCTCGATCGCTAACCCTTGTCCTTGACTCTTTTGTGCCTTCGGCACTTTGAGTCATGGATCGGGAAAAAATAGGACTGATTCTCAGCTCGTCTAAACTTCTCAAAGGTTTCTGAACTTCTTTCTTCTGTGTGACTGTTCCCCTGTCCATGGTTCTTTGATCACCCCTCTCTGAGGGTCTTTGTTCACCCCTCTCTGAGGGTCTCTGACTAAGAGGTAAAAGGGACACACAGGACTGGACTTCGACAGGACTAACATGGACATTACTAACATTCACAGACTTACTTACATATGGGGAAAAATCAAAACAAGAAGAAATAGCAGTCTTTGATCTCTTCAGTGTTGTCTCCAACCAGTCATCTCCTAAAAATCTGGTTATCCAAGATTGTCCCATTAATGATGGACATTTTCCTTCCACAATGAAGTCTAGTTTTGGAATCATCTTTCCATTGAATTCTACATCGACTTGTGCTTTCGCCATCACTGGTAGTCTCTCATTGTTCGCTGCTCTCAGTCTTTTTGCCGAAGGTATAAGAGGAAGTAAATCTAATCCTACCTTAGACAACACATTACAACTAACAATACTTACGCTTGATCCGGAGTCAAATTCCATGTTCAAATCTCGTCCATTTAGTTTCACTGGCACTAACAGTTTTTCTGAGGAAGTATGGTTACAATTGAATTCAACAATCTCTTGATTGTCAATCAATTCTATAGAAGAAGAGTCATCACAAGCATCTAAATTTGAATCATCATACTCAATAACTGTGTCAAATTCAGAATAATCATCAGAGGGTAATATAACTTCGAATAATCAAATTTGTCAATTTCAATCAATTCGTTTTCACTTTCTCTCACTCTAAACATATCTACTGATTTCTCCTCAACACAAACAAAAGCTATCTCGACGTCGCTCTCGTCATTCTCATTGGTCTCGGAAGATTCTTCAACATGGTGAAATTTATCTCCTTTTCTGTACTTATAGTTCTTCTTAGTACCTGTGCAGTTTCTAGCAATGTGGTACTTCTCTTTGCACTTCCTGCATACTGTTCTACAGTCCCTTGTGTTATGACTGCGCAATGTACACTTTTCACAGTACATTTCTCCTCTTGGTTTTAAACTACTTTCTTTTCTGAAATGCTTTGATTTCCTATCCGAAACCTTATTCACCGTTCCAGAAGTTCCACTGTTTCTGACAGTAACACTATTTTTCGACATATATTGAGCTTCTTCCACAGATTTCTCTAAAGTTGCTACATGCTCTCTCGCTGTTGCTAATGTTAAATCTGTTTTCTTCAGGAGTTTCGCTTTCACGCTTTCATCACTCAGTCCAGCTATGAATTGGTCCAGCATTCTCGATTCCAACTCGTTCTCAAATTCACAGTCCATGGCAGTTTCGGTTAGTCTTTCGACGTATTCTGCCACACGCTCTCCTTTCACTTGAAAGATTCGGGTGAAGGCGTATCGTTGAGCGAATTTAGTTGGTTTTGGTGAGTAATGGTTACAAAGTTTCTGTTTTATTACTTTGTACTCCGTTGTGATTATATCCTCTGGTTTTGCGAAGTGGTACGCTTTTTTGAACATTGCTGCGTCCATTGATACTATCAGCATCTGAGTCCACTGTAGCTGTACATTCCAGTCGTTTCTCCTGTCTCGCTCTGTAGTCCAGGCGGTTCTTGCGTTCAGGTTCTCCGGTACAACTTCAACCACTGGCTCTACGATGCATCGTTGATGATTAACGAACACTTCGAATTGGGTGAACCACAACCTGATGTTGGATCCGATGTTGGTGGTCAATTTCTGGTCATACATCCGCGTCGCCATTGTTATGATTTGATATTCTATCTATAATTCGTGAGTTCTTCAGAGAATTGATACACTTGTTATAACTTGGACTTGAATCCTAGGCTAAGGATAGAAATGGTTAATAATCATTATATTGCATAATATTACAATTCACAACAGTAATTAATTTACCGGATGGTGTAGGGAAATTGGTAAAAACACGACTTCAATCTTACATTAATTGTATAAAATTCTAATTTCAGGTAAACAAGCAAAGTTTGTTTTCAATTATTACATATAACTATTAGTTGACGGATGTTACTCGTTTGGATTTTTCGATGCGAAGTTTACTGGGCCACGATCAGCCTCAAGCCTGTCATTCCGCCGAATTTATATGATTATGAACATATAATACAAAAATTAAGTGCAAGTAAGTAAGTAAATATTTCATGCTAGGCATGTAGCACCCATCACGGTATGGGTAACCACTAATATAACCATCCATTGAGTCTTTGCTTTTTCGCTTTGCATAGCAGCTCAGCGAGGTCCGCAGGGCACAGGCAACAGGGGTGCTGGGTGCATTTTGCCTATATCTAACGACAAACAAGGTGGCCTTACAACGAGAAGCATTATTAGATCGATGCGCGGCAAGCTTGCTAGTTGCTACGAAGTATCCCGAAACGGGTTAGTCCATTATCATTTCTAACAATAAACACATAATTGTTGGCACTTGGCAGTTGGCTTGATACACGAATAATTGCATTTCGATCTTCGCGCACGAAACCAGGACACAGGAGCTTGCCTGTCATGCGTCGGCGTACACGCTTCAATATGCATTATGCAATTCTTGGTAGCTGTCATGCTACGCGCAGCAGGCAGCTTCATTCCTCCATAGCTCCATTCTCCAATGAGTATGTTTATAAATATTATAGCTTGTAGCACGATGCGCTACTGTGCCGCGCCGCGCATTCAATTATTGATTATTCTTCTTGCAACGCTAATTCGGTGAATGTGCTACTGTGCCTTGCCGAGCTGCGATGAATTGACATCGTCAGTTAACATTATAGCCTGTGCAGCAACAGTACACGCGCTTTAACCTAACCATGTGCTTTCGCGCCACTGCAGCGTGCAGGCGCGCTCGTTCACACAGGAGGCGATCGGCGGAGAGGAGTTTAAAGATAAAATAGAGATAAGGATAAAATACATATATAAATAGATCAAGATAGCGATTAGAATATTGAATAGAGATTTTACAGCAATTTTACAAAAATGACACACATGGGCCACATAATGATTTACATGATAAACCTACTAGCGCATGTGTATCAAAAAAATTTTTGACACACATACGCTACCTAGGAAGCGCATGTGTATCATTATTTTTTTGACACACATGCGCTTCCATAGTGCCTCACCGAGCTGCGAAGGATTGACATCGTGAATCAACCCTACACGTTGCATGTGGCGTTGATTCATGATGTCAATCTTTCGCATCTCGCCGATCTGCATACGTGGTTGCGAGAAAGCATTATTTGATGCGCGCGCGACCCAGTAGTGCATCGCGCTACAACATGTGGCGTCATTCGGCCGGATCCCAGCAAGCAAAAATACGTCGACCATCACAGGACGACGCCAGCACTCTTTACGCTCTTCGAGCTCCGATCGCGATCGTCCTGTGACGAAGTAAGGACGAAGCCTGAGGTCCTCAGGTAACATCGACCACCGATTGAAATTCAGAGATTTTTTGACATAAAGGTCAAATGTAAAACTAAAATCTTAATGTTGATTGATTGACGACGTCAATTTTTGAGCACAGCGCGAGCGCATGCGGAAAAGGACCGCGTAGCTGGTCAAGATGTTGATAAATATTTAGCTTGTGGCGCGATGTGTTGCTCTAACTATAGCCCTCTGCGCTTGCAGGTAGCGCGCGACCGCCGGAGGCGGGAAATGACCTGGTTAGCTAGGTGAACGCGATGTGCCTTGTAGGATGAAATCATACTAGCTGACGCCACTCAGCCAGCTGGTGCTGCTCGCTGTACGTCAGCGATCGAAATTTAATAATAATAATTATTTATTTAATTTTTATTACGCGTATTTCAACCCGTTTTTAAGGATGTCCCAACCCGAACGCACACCACAATTTTTTTTTTTTTTTTTTTTTTTTTTTTTTTTTTTTTTTTTTTTTTTTTTTTTTTTTTTTTTTTTCGTTGCTCGTGTTGTCGCAAACGTCGACGAACAAAACGAAGCTCGTTGCGAGAAGCGCCGGCTGCAATGAGCTCTGGCCCACGCCCCAGGCTAGACATCGTCCTGGCCCAACAAATTTGGGGCGAGCGATTTTCTTCTTTTTTCCCTCTCCCCCTTCTTTTAAAAATCTCTTGTTTTTTTATTTTCTTTAAAAAATTTAAAGAGGGGGCGCCGACTCCCCCAACTCTGCTAGTTTCTTCTTCTTATACCCAGCCCCAGCGCCGCGTTCCTTAATGGATGAGGTAAAATGTATCAACTATCTTGTACTAGCTACGCGGGTCCTTTTTTTTTTTTTTTTTCTTTTTTTTTTTTTTTTTTTTTTTTTTTTTTTTTGTTTCTTTTTTTATTATTGTTTTTTTTCTTTTTTTTTTCCTTTTTATTTTTTTTTTTCTTTTTTTTTTCTTTCTTTTTTTTTTTCTTTTTTCTTTTTTTTTTTTTTTTTTTTTTTTTTTTTTTTTTTTTTTAGTCTTTTTTTTTTTTTTTTTTTCCTTTTTTTTTTTTTTTTTTTTTTTTTATTTCCCATGCGCTCGCGCTGGTGCCAAAAAAATAGAAAGGACGATGTCGTCAAAATAATTAAATCAATCAAACATTAAATAAGATTTTAGTTTAAAAAAACATTTTGACCCCTTTTTAATTTGATGTCAAACAAATAATCTCTGGGAAGAAATTTGTCAATAAATCGTTGGTCGATGTCACCTGAGTCGGAGTGGGACCTCAGGCTTCGTCCTATTCTTACACTCCTCTACCTTTCCTTTCTGCTTTCTACCCCTTTCGTCCACAGGAACGAAATCGGAGGCTTCGAAGAGGCGTTGAAAAGTGCTGGCGGGGCGGTCGTCTTGTTGTGATGGCACGCGCATTTTTTTTTTTTTTTTTTTTTTTTTTGCTTGCTGAGATCCCCGCCGAATGGAATGAAAAAAAACGCCACAATAACGTGTATAAGGGTAAAAAAAAAAACTTAAAAAACGCTTTCCCGCTTTCCCCCTATAGGAGAATTAGACAAAAAATTGTTGTAAAGAGGGGAGGGAAGTTCACAGTGACCAGTCAAATGACATTAAATATTTTCGCTGGCTGACGGTTTTGGGGTGGAGGGTTAGGGCAACGTTTATAAATTATACATATATGGTCAAGGTTAGGACTAAGTTGTACACTATTGACATTGTGAGGTAATGGTTAAAGGTTATCACTAGCGACCTTTTTTTTTTCCAAATATTCTGAGAAACCCCAAAATAATTCGCAAAAAAATGCTATGTGTAATGTTTATGTCACGTGAACAAAATTAGAGAGAGGGGGGGAGTGGAGTAGCCGAGGGTCGGAAGTCGAAGTTCGGAAGTGTCATGGACTTCTGTTTGGAAAGCCGGCGGCCCTTCCGAGAAGGAGTCCGGCCGAGCCCAGTGGACTCCCCAAGCTCCTCCGCCGGACCTCCGCCGGATGCAAAGTCCGGCGGACGGGTCCACCGGAGTCCGCCGACCACTTCCTGCCGGAATCCGCCAAGCGGACCACGGAGTCCGCCTAGTGGCTTAGGGGGGGGGGAGGGGGAGAGGGGGTGGGGTCCGCGGCGGACAACATCTCCGCCGAATAGCCCCGCCTGCGGGAGCCGCTCGGAGTCCGCGCCGGCCGGACGTTATTAAATAAAAAGTTCCGCTCGAGGAGTCCGGCTCGGCTTCAGCTTCGGAGTCCGCCAAAATGTATTCCGAGTCCAACGAAATACATTTGGCGGAGCTAACAAGCACCCGCCGAGGGGAGTCCCGCCTCGGAGTCCCCCCCGCGCTTCCTGCCGCCCCGCGGACTCAATCTACTTTCAACTTCTAACACCCACGAGAAACGGCTAGATTGCCGGACTATGAGTGCTTCTGGAGAACCTTGATAATGATTGGATGGCCCTACACGACGGAGAAGTTGCCGATGTTCGAACTCTACTTCAGCTGTATATGTACGGTCTGAAAAGTTAAAATTGTTAACAAAACAGTTCTTAAATAATAGCTATATCTAAAAATATTGTACTAGAGAGGTTATATATAAACAGGATGGATTTTGCAAATCTATTCTTTTCTATGCTTATCTAACTTAAACACTTGATGAAGGTGTATGTATGCTTTATATTTAATTAATACTTATACATACCTGTGAAATCACGACTGCAAGTACATTAACCAATAAAAAGAATAAAAAAGCTGCGTTGAGTCCTCTTACCTGACCCACCTTTATACACTAACCCTCGAAACAGTAAAGAGATCAAGGTATTTTCAGAAGGGTGACCGAAACAACTGAAACCCCAATGTGAAGCCGAGTTCCACCACAGCAGTTAACAGGCACCATCAGGCTAAAATTTGGGTGACCAATATCAGACGTAAATAAAAAAAAATCAAAAACAAAAAAAAAAATCCCAAAACGCGAACAACTACTGAACCCCAGTTCATAATAATCACACAACTGCAACCAAATTGGAAAGTTACGACAACTGAACCCAACGATCGGATTTTCAGGTCTCTCCCCTTCTCTTGCTTCGCGGGAACTTTGGAGTCATAAACTTTGTATGAACCCGCCGCGCACGAACGTGCGCGCTTCCCCCTGGTATCGGCGTCAGGGACGCTAAAGGAAAAACGGACCGTGGGTGTCCACCAACGTGAATAACAAAAGACTGTGGTCATTAATCCACTATTCACTATAGGATAGACCATTGTGACTT